GGTAGGTTACTGTATTCAACTTGTCCACCTATAAAATAAGTTTACTTTAGCTGTGGTTGTATTCGATTTACTGCATCTGAATGGGAAATCTATCATGAACGCTCCATTATATCAGCGTATACAGGCCCTTGAAGTAGCTGTTCTGAAAGATAACAAACATATTGATACCATATCAGTAGCACCAAGGAAGACTATTAACACAAGGTAAGCATTCATCTTTTTTCGATTGGGAAAAAACTGGAAAAATTTGGTTTCTTTAGAGAAGAGGTGGAGCAGCTGTTTTCGAAAGCATTGAGTGCTGGTGAAGAAGGTATTGTTGTGAAGCGGAAAGATGTGACGTATCAGCCGGGTACCAGGTACGTTTATAGCAGATTCTCAACATTTTGTCTTTACAGTAATTCGAAAGTTTTAGAGGGTAGAAAGATATGTTTTGCTGATTTAATGTGATTTTCTGAATTTCAAGACCGTACGAATTATTTGAAGTCTTTGGACTTACACTTCTCATCATCATTTAGAATGACCAAAAATGGTTGGTTCAAAATGAAAGCTTATCTTGGTGACAACGAACTGGATGTAGCAGTAGTTGCTATTGACAAAGGCAAGGATAACCAGGTGACCTACCAGCTTGCTGTCCGAGATGGTTAGTTATCCCACTTAATGGCATATTTTTTTGTGGATTTTTTTGGTTGTTTATGGTAAAGAATGAGTGTTCAATGCTTTAGGTGACAAATACCAAACCATAACACACTGCTCGTCAGGGCTTGGTCGAGTTGATAGGGATTATATTTACGATCTTGCCACGCGGTCTGAAGGACCACTTTTGCAGGTTATAGTTTCATTCGCTGTAAGCTATGGACTGACTTATGAAATTTTTTGAGTTGCAATAGTTTTTAATGATTTACCCTTTTTCCCAATAAATGTCTAGGTTGCAGTATCTTTCTCCTTCCTCGCCCAAACTGCTCTTAGAATTCAGAATTTCAGAAAGCTCCTCCAGAGTTGCGTGGCTGGAAGATACATGATCCAAAAGGAGGCTATATTAGAAGGGAGCACTGGATAGTGGGTTTTCCAACATATTAACGTGAGAACCAACTCAGCTTTCTAGGTCGTCGAGATGACGGCAGCTGGAGTTCGCGATGGTCAGTTCATCGACCCAGTTATGAAACGAATACGATATGATAAGGATGTGGATGAGGTGGATACGCTGAAGACATTCGAAAGCTATGAAGAGGTGTGTTCGTATGCGAATTACAGCTATGGATGTGGGCGCTCAGAGAATATGTTCCAGTTGCTCCACAACAGCAAACTATCGGATAAGAGTCCATCCAAAGCGAAACCCAGAAAAGTAACGAAAAGAATGATTGTAGAGTCAAGTGAGTTTTCCTAGTATACTACATCTTCCATTCTCGATACAGAGCCAAAAAAAAACATAATATCTTGTTCCACGGGCAGGCAGGTCTATAACCGACTGGAAGATGGAATTTCAGCAGCCGCAAGGCTCGACGCTCACAAAGTTCAGGAAAAAATCTAAGAATTTCTCTACCCAAAATCAATTTTCGGTCAGAAAAATACTACGAACATCTGACTTGCTTGAG